GGCGTGGACTGTCAGATTTCTCCCAGATGTGTAAATTTATAATCCGTCGGTTTGACAAGAGACGACCCCGACGAACAGAGGGACTAACTGTATTGGTCAAAATCTGACCGCTGTGGTCAACCCAACTGGGATCCCGCCCAAGCGGCGGGACAGTGAAAGACGCCATGATTTGCTCCAAACCTACGTACTCACAGTACCCGCTAAGTCGAAGAACAATACTCTGGGAACGACGAAAACGGACATGGTATGAAGGTGCATTGACCCAAGAACATAGCAGGGACTCCATGACTATATATAGGGAGGGAACCTTCCTAGAAAGAGGGGCTTTTTTCTCTCTGTAATTCTCCTCTCTCTGTAATCCTCCTTAGCAAAATGAAGACAAAACAATTTTGCATGCATGATGTAAACTGATTATCTCCACCGATTGGTGAGAAAAGGAATGAAAAATATCAAGAAGATTGATCGCCCTTATTTTATTTTTACTAATCATTTTCTTATGTGTTTATAGATCTGGAGTTTATTATGTTTGACTAAGATTTACCTCTTCATCTTCATTAATTGATTTAATCAAAAAGATTTCGATATCTTTTGGTCAAACATAGGTCAGAAAGATGTCACGCTTAATTCTTTTCCGTACCTGTATTGCACCTGTAGTACTAGTGTATTCTTGTATTCCCCATTTTTAGATGTCGGGCCTATATTGCTTTTGCTTCGGTTATCTTTTTTTTAACTGTAGTTATTGTTTATCTTTAAATGGATTCTCCTTTAGTCGTATTTCCTTATTTTAACTATGGTGATTATCCGTTTTTTTAGTCGAAGGTCTATCGAAAATAATCTATCTATCTTCACAATGTAGGAGTGAGGTCTGCGTACACACTACCGTCTTCAAATTCCACTTATGAAATTTTACTACGTATGTTGTTGTTGTTGATGCTTCTAAAACAAGAGCAACATAAAAGGACACCTAAGTAATTAACCACATGATTTAATGGAAAAATAATCCTAGTTGAGAGTGCTTCTATTTTAATACTCCCTTCGGTCCAAAATAAGTATTTTTTTGGTATTTTTTTTGTGGTCCAAAATAAGTGATTTTTCCAGATTTCAAATGAATTAATTATTTTTTTTCCTACATTGTCCTTGGAGCAAATAGTGTTGGAGTATGTGTTAGGAGTGTTTATGTGAGATAGTAAAGGTTAATATGGTCAATTTCATTGCTAATTAATGCTAAAAGATGGATTTCTTAATCTGTATGAAAACATCCAAAAAAATCACTTATTTTGGACCGGAGGGAGTATGTTTTATGTAAATTCGGATTACTCGGACTCTGTATGGATACGAGGATGAAAAAAAAAAGACCACCTGATTTAAAGCCAACAGTTTGTTAAAACTTAAAGGATTCCGAAAATAAAGACCAAAGGTGCATATTTCAAGTTTCAAATAAATGAAGGTAAAAGTATTTATTAGACCATATGAGTATAATAACGAAATAAACGTTTTCTTATTTCACCTTGGGATTGTAAAAGGAAATTAGAGTAACAAAATGAGAATATATGATTAGAAATGAAGGTCTCAGCCCCTTTTGTTGAATGTGGAAGTTGCTCGTGGTAGATTAATCATATGAAAGAAAATTTGGGCTCCCATTCCAACCAGATTAATTAGTTTTGGATGCTACTCCATTTTAGTTTAGACTGGGAGCATGAGTACCCCATCTTTGCTAACTTTTGCATTTTGTAAAGTGGCTATAGACACAAATCATTTAAGTCCCACTGAACTTATCAATGATTAGCTTCAAAACATGCATTAACCCTTAAGAGCAGACATCCACTAAATGATGTTTTGTTTATAATGGTGATCTCTGAATTTTAGGGGACGTAATGCCAGTTGTTACAATGAAATGTTCCTAAATCTACTTTCTTAAAGTTTGAAGGTCAAGTTTTTTCTTTAATTTGCATGGAAGGATCTATGGGACTTAAACAAATTATAAATTACTCCCTCCTATTCGAAATAGGTAAAGGATCTATGGGACTTAAACAATTTAATTTTTTTTTTGTGGGGGTGGGGGGGGGGGGGGTGCAAATCCACCTTTGCTCCAATAAATGATCTAAAGTCTGATGAGAGATAAGGGGTAACTACAGCAGATATAATAGGGTAATTTAATCAAATAACCTTATGATAAATATTTTCATATAAAAATATTTCTCAATATATGTTTCTTTTTAAAAGTTAGAGTGATGGACTGGTTTTGAGGGCATTTTTGTAAACAAGCAATTCTTTTAGAAATTGTGTAATGTTTTAATTCATCAAACCAAACAATGGATAAGAAATATGTCAGCATAACTAATACCAGCACAACTAATGCAAACATAACTAGCTAATACCAGCATTATTGATACACCCTATTCAGCATTATTCTTATGCATCATACCAAACGACCCCTAACCATGTAGGATTAAAATTAGTTAATTATCAAAGAACCGCATGGAGGAGCGTAAAAACTTTTAGAAAATGATCTCATAGCCTTCTTAATGCCTTTTGCAACAGCTACAGAGTTGGCTCTTTAGGAAACACAAGTCCAAAATCACCCAACTTGCTATCAGCAGCCGAAGAAACATGATGTAGCATGTCAATGTCATCTTACTCGCCTTAATTCTGTTTTTTTGTCTTCCAAACCTTGAAACAACAACTAGCTAGAGGCGGAGCTAGGATTTAAAGTTTAATTTGTGAGTTCGGGATTCTACTTCGTTTATGATACTGAGTTCTAAATTAATAATTTATATATATTCGATAAATTTTTAAGATAAATACATAGTTTGAACTAAAATTACTGGGTTCGACCGAACCTGCAAGCTCTATGCTAGCGCCGCCCCTGAACAGCTCCGGTTGATAGTTTCCCTTTTAACTAGTGAGTATATATAGCTGCATCGTGCATGTGGAGATGACCTAACCATGAATAGCTTGGAGGAAACAGATTCCCATAACATGCATGTCAACATCATCCTTGTTTTACTCTTTGTATTTATCTAGTATGGCAATTTGAGAAATGACGGTCAAAAATTGCAGCTGCAGACCTACGTACACACTTACTAGAGAGAGAGAGGGGGGGG